TGCATATTATCCTATCATCTTGTTACTTGGCTTATTTTATTAGCCTTAATATATTTATTTTAGTACACATTAGTCTTACTGTGTATGGAACCATTTCTGAATATCTAACTGGAGACAATTCAGGAAGAGTGATGATGTGTGAGTTTACAGTCAGCTGCTTTGAGAAGAAACAGAAAAATAATGCAAAAAGACAGGCAGTTACAAAAACAACTAAGATGAATCAGTCACAAAAATAGATTTGAACAAGATAGCTCAAGATGTGAAATCACAGGACTACTTGTAATGTACTTTACTTGCCTGAAAAAAAACAACAAAATAACAATTAAAATAGTCTTTTAAGATTTACATGAAATTCCCCTGCCCCAAAAATAACAATATATAAATGTGTAGCAGTTTATAATTTCAATGCTATCATGAAAAAAATACCAGAAAATATGATACTGTGCAGATGTGGGGTTGTACAGACTGTAACCACAGAGATTCAGAATGAAACTGGAAGCATTATAATACAAGTGAGCAGAAAGGAGGAGGACTGATCATCAAAGCCACTGTAACTACAACTAGCAAAAAGAAGTATCTGCACCAGGTCATTGAGAAACATCTATGCAATCATACAATCCTGGGGAGACTGCTAAGTTTTGATATTGGAAACACACAAAGGTAAATGACCATTAAATAAAATTCAAGGCATCATCCTCAGCTGCACTAGATGTGGTACAACTCAGCAAAGGGTATCCCTGAACCACCCTTCTTTTTTTTCAGGTCACAGGGCTGCTACAGGACTATTTCGGCCCCGTGGTCTGAGTGCTGGACTCAGTCACACCAAGTGCCCCTGCTCTGTAAGGACAGTGTCCCTGAGCAATGGCTGGCCAGGAGGGCTGTGTCCTTCATCCTCTGGCTAAACGCATCTCTGTAGTGCAGGAAGAAGCATCTCAGAGACGATTTGTGGCAAGCATCAAGATCACTTGCTCCCATGAAAGAGCAGCTTGGGCATTGAAGGAACTAGTGTAATAGGTTGCAGGACAGGTTATTTCTTTGTCAAGGTAAGAGCCTCGGTTTAAGGAAGCATCTGTGAAAATCTCCCACTGATACTCTTCTGCTACCTAAAAAGAAGGAACTTTAGTATCTGGAAACCCCAAGTCCAACCTCTGCAGAACCCCAACGATCGTTGAAGAATCAGAACCATTTACACAGCTCCAGCACAGAGCATTAGCTCTGATCCTGATGAATGATTCTGTAGTCCCAGACTGTTCTCCCAGAATTACATGGAGCCTGAATGGAGAAAGTGCTCTACTCTATACAGGCCCGTGTTTATATTAATGCCTCTTCAAAATCCTCTAATATTTTTCCCAGCCTGTGTGCAGCATTCAGAATGCATGGACATGTGTAGAAAAGCCTTAGTGAACATACTTTCTGTGGAACGGGAAGATGATGCCTGAGGAGCATGCATTTCAAGCTCTGATGTTGTGATACAGGCAATCTGTGCAAGAGAAAGGAAAGAGCAAAATAGATAGCTCTGGGTGAAATCCTGCTTGTGTTGCTGGTTAGAAAAAGAGGGGGGAACATAGACATAAGAAAGAAATACAGAAAAAAATCAACAAATACAGAAAGATTATACCAGATAAGAAGTTAGCTGATCTCCAAGGAGAGATAGCACCAGGAGTCAGGCTAGTGTAATTTTGAAAAACATAAAGGAATTCACCACTCCTTGCCTAGAAGGTCATAGTTTCTCTTAAAAAGCATATAGACGCTGAGAACAATGGCCACTACATCTCTAGTATATATTTTTTTTCTTATGGAGTTAAGTAGGGATCATTTTGTCCAGTGTATCTTTTTAAAGTTCATTCTTGCCAACAAATTGTATAACAAATCCAAAGGAGAACAGGCATGTTCTTCTTAAAATACTGCTGTATTTTATGTATCAAAAAACTTGGGGAAAATGCCTATATAGCTTGCCCAAATGGATAACAGGAAAACACAATTATGGGAAAATCTCAGGATGATGTAAGCTCAAAAAAAAAAGGACATATTATAAGAGATGGCTATATTACACATGAAAAGTCAAATAAAAGAATGCATAGACCCTAATACCAGAGAAAGTAATTGCAAAAAAAGCCAAAACATTTCTCAAGCCATTGAAACTCCACCACAACAATCACTTTACAAAGCCTTTAGATGGAGAAGCCAAAGCTGGGTGAGGAGACACGTTACTTCATCTTGCTGATCTTCCTGCGTCTGTCACCCAACCTTACAACAACAGCCAACAACAGATAAGAAAGCAAAAGCCTGTGTCACCAGTAAACCACCTATTAGCTGTACCACAAAAGCATCTTGTATTTGTGTTAGATGTGACATTCCCATTCTTCCTATATGCATGTACTGGCCATTCTTTTTCATTCATATATTTATCTTGGCTTTTTCTTTTCTCCTGGGATCTTCTTTCTTTTAAATGGAAGCTGAATTAAAAGGGTCTATTTTTCAGCCTAAAAACGTAACTTTTGATCTCAAAATAAGTATAACAAAAGGCAAGGCATGGCTCACTCAGTACAGTTCAAAAACATGCATCTTCTATATTAAATATAAAAAATAAATATTTCATGACCAATGGTATAACTGTCAGGAGCCAAAACTACCCTTATCTCATATAACATGAGATTATCCCTGGACTACTTCATACCTTCTCACTGGGCTATCTAGACCTTGATTGTCTCTCTGTTCTTGCTTTCTTCACAGTGCTGAAACTGTCTCCATTCGTCACCCTTTGACACCTTAACATACATGGTTTCAGTATTATAGTTTCAAATTACTTTCACTTAGAAGCAGTGTGAAAGGAACCCCATAACTGGTTAAGACAAATGTCTTTCCAATTCTTTTTTTTTTTTTGGGTGGTGCCTGAGCAATTGTCATAACCACTCGAAAACATGACTCATTTTCCAGATCACAGAATGTAACTGCAGAATAAAAAGGTCCTCACTCTTGTTCATGTCTTCTTTTTGCCTCTACTCTTATTATACAGGATTGCTCTCCCTTCCAATAGTGTTCCATTTAGAAGAAAAAAAAAAAAAAGTGTGTATAATGATACCCTTCTTTGGAAATCCCGTGCTTCATTCATACAGCCAACTTATAAGAAAACTGAGTTTGCTGTCAAAAAGATCTGTCTTCAAATTTCATACATGGCCTACTCAGGAGCTCTACAAGCTTTTTTCGCTATCATATAAAACAAGTTGCAATAAATCACTCCCACTGTGAGTGTTGGTGTTAGCACGTTGAAGGGAGCAATGCACGTACCTCATTGTTAACCACAGTGAGTAAATGGCAGTCCTTGCAAAGATGAATCATCAGCAAGGAAAGCAGCTCAGGAAAAGAAACACACACCAAAAAAAACCCCAAAACAAAACCAAAAGTAACTCGCTTCACCAGAAAGAACACCCAGGGAACAGGTGGAAGCGTAACTGGGTATGTATGCTTTGTAACATAAGTTAATTTGTACGCATTACGCTCTGTATGGACTTGCCTTCATGAATCATGACCTGAAAATACTTTATTGAATGATACTCCAGTTTTTCACTGAAAATTTACCTTTTTGTTAAGTTTCCTCACTGCTTCAAATGATTGTTGTATACCCTCCTGTAGAACAGCTTTTCACATATCAGAAGTTCTTATGAGTCTTTATTGAGTTCTATATTTCACATTTTCTTAACCTTTGCCCCACACTAAACTAAATTATATCCTGGGGAAGGATAGTGTTTATTTATTTGTGCTTTCCTATCACCTACTGTTCCAGGCCCCCAAACTCTGTGGGGACCTTCATGTGAATGTTTTCTTACAAATCATGTCCATCATCCCTCACAGACAGCAAAGGCATGAAACACACCACCATACCACACAAGACAGAACAAAACAGAACAGTGCACCAAGGCAGGAATGATTCCCTTGAACTGCTTCCCACTCTATGTGAAGGTAAAGAGGGTGAGTCTTCTTATGTAGCCAGGGAGAGACTGAAATGCTCCCACTATGCCGTCAATTGTTGCATGGGCAGACAGAGGGAGACTTTGCCAAAGGACTAGTTGGCTTGCTACATTTTAGGAACTTTATGAAGTGTTAAAAAGCTCTTCCCCTCAGAACGACTCCAGGTGAACAGCACACAGTGCTGGCAGCAGCATGAGACCCTCTTATTTTGGTATTCCAGTTAAACACAAGACAGGCCTAGAAAAGAGTAGACAAGCACAATGGCTTTTGAGAAATATGTCACCTTCTTTCCAACTTCTTAAGGGTCAAGGTTCAAAGAACTGGAGGGCCAGTCTACAACCATTCTCTCCATCAGTCAGTCAGCTGGAAAACATTACTGTTCTTCACAAGCAAAGGGCTTAGATATTGCAGAGGTCCTTCTGCTACTTCCTTCATTTTCGCATCTTCCATGAGGAATAAGTTATGAACTTATGCTTAAGGAAAGCTTATTATGCTTAATATATTAAGCACGGAAGTCTTGTTTGTTGGTTTTTTTCCTGAGCCCCAGCATAACAATCCAACCAATACCTGTCAGTCACCTTTTTTCTCAATAGCAAAGCACAACTCCAACTATTGCCTTCATTTGTTAAATGGTAGACAGGAAGAGATAGAAATAAAAATAAACACCTGATAAATAAACCTGATGTTTAAAGCTATTAAGTTTGCTTAAGAACACCCAATGTAAGAATACCCAGAGTACCTTAAATTTCAAAAGGGCATTAGGGTATCCTGAGAGGGGAAAATATGTTCACATTTTAGAACACTGCATGTCTGGAAGTTAAACAAATCAGAACCACCTACAAATTAACAATACTGTTTTCCCCTTGGTGAACTCTACCACTGTTTCCCTAAAAGTTAAGAGTCAAAGAGTGTTCACTTATCAGCTGGGCACCTATCCTGTCACTGTACATTCACACTAAAAACCCCTTCTTTTCCAGTGTGCGCTACTCATAAATGTGCTCAATCAGACTGATTCTCTGCCCTTTAATGTTCTACGGTGAATTAGGAAAGGGTCTGTTAAAGGATGATACAGGCCATTCTTTTGTGATGGTCTGCAGTTTTCTCTCCCAATACATTTTCTTTTTATTTAGCACTTCCATTTTTATCCTGTGTTCCTCTTCGGCCATCTCACACTCCCTTTCTATTTGTTGTATTTTTGCCACATGAACTTCATTCATTTGGATTAACTGCAGCTGCAAAATTGACATTTGCTGATGATGTTCTTCCTCATGCATCTTTTTCAGAGCACTTTCCTGAGATGCTTTACTTCTGTAGTTCTTATCAGCTGCTATTCTGACATCAGAACATGAAGGCTCAGGTTGGGAGGTACCTTCACACACCGGGAAATGTACCAGCTCTTTCTCTTCATCACAAAGTTCTCTGTTTGAGACAACAAATGACTCTGCAAAACACAAGAGGAAAAAACAATACAGTATTCCCTTCTTCTGCCTCAAGAAACCCAAGGTTTTGATAATATAATTATTGGCGTATACATCTAAACTTTGTGCTTCTGTACCATAGCACAGGAGACACTACATAATGCAGCTCCATTACAGAATACTAAGGGCACAATGGTCTGAACTGAACCCCTTTAGGCTCTGTTTATAGACCTCCATGGTTGTAACAGGAATAATAAATTGAATGTAGACATTTATAAGCAAACAACTAAATTTAGGTGGCTGAAGCTGAACCTTAATGCAATTTTTGAAGCCGAATCCATATGTGACCTGCAATGTTTTTATGGAGGATTTGAGTGTCAGGTGAAGAGCTGTGTCAACATTAAGACTGAGAGACTGAAGAAATACTAGGAAGAATACCATTTATTCGTTCCTTATCACTACTGTACATGCTGGAAATGCATTGGTGTATATTTTTAGGAAAAAAATTACATCATGCTAACTTTGAGAAGGTTCTACCAGGTCTACTAAAATAAATTACTCATGGAATAAAATAGTAACCACTGCAAATAAGGGTCTCAAATTACATTCCTTTACAAATCCTTTACTACTTACAGGAAATAAAATTACAAAAAAGTCATTGTAAGAATCTTATCTAACCATGTAGTTACTGTTGTCTTTCCAGCAAGGACAGTCTTTTGTGTGCAATCCTGACTGAATATAGTTTGCAAGAAACCACGTAGCCACCCTCCCTCTTGTTTTGTATTATTCCTTTTGAGTATGCTTTCCAAGCAAAGAAGAATGCAGTGCTGAACTTCTTCAAAAAGGCCATTCTCCCATGTGGACTGCAGCATGAAATATGGCTCTACATACCAGTTTTAGTTCTTGAAAACCAAGGAGGAAAACCTACAGGGAAATCTTGCAGCAGACAATTGTTTATCAATTTGCTGCTGGTGGCCTGTGGGTTTTTGTTTGTTTGTGGTTTTTTGTTTTTGTTTTGCTTGTTGTTTTTTTTTAAATGCTCAGACAACCTTTTCCCAACAAAGTGATACTTTATAAAGGATCGAAATATCCTTGGGACTGAACTCTGGAAAGCCAGCATAACAGCTACTGTAATGCTTGCCACAAAGTAGCAGATACCTAAAAATTAGTGCGAAAATATTGAGTAAAACCTCAGTTTAACTCCTGAGGGCCTAGGGAAATAAATGGAGTCTCATAATATTATAGTTCTGGAATTACTTTTCTAAAACTAGCAGTGACAGCTAAGTGGACAGATTTATACTGCTGAAAGAGAACCACTGGCAAAGCCGCATACAAAACAATACTACTTGTATCATTGCAATAACATTTATACCTTGACTAGAAGCATCAGGCTGATATTCAGAATCTTCTTCTGGTGGGCTCTGCAAAAAGTACATTTGCTCAGGCATTATGCTGGCAATCTTCTCTTTCC